TTCAATTTTTAATTTTTTTCGTCGCGCTGTGATGATGTCAAATGCGCGCTTTCGTCGAGCGCGATTTTGTCGTCCGTGGTTTTGACAGGTCACGTGACTTAACGACAGCGGCAAGAAAGGTTGTAAAAAGGTGGTAAAATTAGCCGTCTTAGCATCAGAAACTTTGGGCTCAATCGTGGTCATATGTTGAGGACTACCCTGTACAAAATAGCCTTTCATCAGCTCTCTGTGTCAGGGAAAAAATATTGGCAAGTATAGTTTATTCAATGGCATCTTATTCTCCTTGTCAATCTCTAAGACCATCCCAGCCAAGGTAGAAGCTTCACATAACACAACATTTCCTGATAGCACCTGGCTCTACTAATTAGGTGAGGTCACAGATGTTGAGGTAATCGGTTACTAAGACATGGCAGTTTGCTGCACATGTCTGTACACAACCTTTGTATAACCTCTACATTGGGCGAGTGCTTGAGATCTAAGGAATGGTCAGGTAGAACATAATTTAACACGTTTACACGCTTGCTGGCGGTGTTGCTCTTCCCACAACCCAAATCAGTACGTGTATGTTCTGGTGAGATCGTTGCATTTCCCTTCGGGGGCTTCGTAGGTAGCCTGAGGGGGTGTATGCAGAGGCTCTGGCCTGTCGAAAGGAAACAAGCAGTCATCCCGCAGAATGGCTGCCTGGTACAGCTCTTCCGACTCCAGGCGCAATTCCCTCAAAGCCTGTTCTTGAGCGGCAATCAGTGTTTTCATGGTGTCCATCTCGGCCTTGTCCTGTCGTTGCTTATAGGCGGCCCACTGCTTCAAAAGCTTAGCTCGTTTTTCCCTTTCGTCGAGGGACAGCGGGGCAGCCTCTCGGACCCTGGGAGAAAAATAGGCTGCAAGTTAAAAATATGACACGTGGACGTTTTCTGAATTGAGTTCTTCTAGAGCAGAGGTATCAAAACTCGATTTCATTGAGGGCCACATCAGTGTCGTTTGACCTCGGGGGGGGCGGGGTCGGGGAGGGTGTGACCAGGGTGGCCATGGGCAGCTCAATGTCACTTGTGTTGGAAGGTGTCTGGTGGCCCAAGCAGTGTGTCAGTGAAAATGGGCTCCCTGTTGTGGCCTGCCAGCTGGCAGCAAATTCAGACAGCAAGGAGGTTGGGGAGGAACCTGGGCCAGTCCCGGAGTCTGGGGAAGGCTCTAATGAGGGCTCTGTGTCGGAGGCAGAGAAGGGGCCAGAGCCGTATGCCAGTTATCAGCTGCCTTCAGAGTCAGACGTGAGGCAGATGAACAGCTGGAGCCTGTTCCCAGTGCGCTCATGCACAGAGTTGCCAGACGAAGCGAACAGCTAAAGAACAGGGGTCGACTTGNGGCTCTTGGCGAAGAGCTTGACCCTTTCTTTCTTTGTGGCAACCCCTGAGATATTGGAACCCTACTATCATGTCACCTCTAGTCCTTCTCTTCACTAGATTAGCTCATTTCAGTTCTACAGAAGGCTGGATTGAAACAGTGGAGTTCTTCCTAACCTTTAAAAGGGGTGGTGGTAATTCTAAGTGAAGAACACTGGAAACAACATTCCCCTAACTCCACTGAAGATGTTACCTAGCATGGCAACAGAATGTTCAGAAACCAACCCACCAGCATGGAGAATGAACCTCCACCCCAGTTCTAAGTGAATTTCTAGTCCAACTGATGTCTTCATCTCAAGATGTTTGAGGATTTTTGGCACAGTAAGGTCAATGAGAAAGACATCCTTCCCTTCCTACGATGAAAACATTGCTCTACTGTGGAGGGTTGGGGACTATCAATGGTTCCACTGGGAAGCATTTCCTACAATTGTTGTGACATCCCTGTTGCATCTGACTGCCTCCAAGACCATGGAAGGCAAAGTTCTCAGTGAAATTCCAACTGGAAAAGGCTCCTGTTCAGGAAGAAGCTTCTTGGATGAGAAGCAAAATGTCTTCAAAGAAAAACAACAACAGTGTCCAGTTGCCTCCAGAGAAAAGCACCTTTGGGCTTCTATTCAGATTTTCCTATTGCTTAAACAACTGGTGCATATATGCATTTCTGCCAATCTTTAACAGCTTAGATGTGAAATTTCTATTGGAGCAATTTATTTTGCTAATTTATTTACGGTTTTGCCACCACTCCTCTTCCAGAATTTCAGAATTTAATTTCAAGGACATTAGATCTGCGCACGCATTTAATACTCCATCCGAGAAAAGAGCTTTTGGACTATCACTGTTAAGATAATAACTAGCCGATAATAAACCTACATCTGGACACACAATTCACAGTTTCATCCTAAATCTGCTTCACAGGTAAATTCCTTCCACAAAGTTCAAAGGTACTTAATTACTATAATCCGTGGAAGACTGCAGAGTCAGACATCTATAGAATTAAGGCAATTCAGACTAATTATTAAGAGAATTGCTTAAGAGTTCATAAATCAAAATAAGAAACAGACAGGCTGAGGCAGAAAATTCAAGGTCTTGCATTATTATGCAATAAGCCAGTGATGGCTAACACTTTCCTCCTTCTCCGTGCCAAAATCAACGCGTGTGCCCTCACCCATAATACAATGTGCCCTGCCCCCTTGCGCATGCGTGCACGCCCCCCACCCGCACTCCCCCATGTATGTGCATGACCCTCTCCTGCGCCGTGTTTTGGGCCTAGCAAGCCTTCTTGAAGCCTCCTGGGACCAAAAACAGGCCACAAGGTGTGTGTGCTGCTCCCCCTCCCCCGCATGCACGTTCGAGCCGCCCACCCTCCTGCGCATGCGCTTAGTCTCCTGCATGCACTGCAGAGGCCCAAAAATCAGCTGGCCGGCGGGAGGCACATGCACATGCGCAATGGAGCTGAGCTGGGTGATGGTTCGTGTGGCTGTAGAGATGGCTCCGTGTGCCAGCTGTGGCACACGTGCCAGAGGTTCGTCATCACGACAATAAGCTATTGAAGGTCACCTCCTAATACGGATGCATTCCTTAGATGAAGAAATGCTCGCAATGCTTGTGTGGCAAACCAGATGGGGAGAGACATCTGGCTTAAGGCCTCGTTCGGGATATCTCCTCACCATTCCCTAGGAATTCACAGGGAATCCAGCCCAATTACAGGAAGTCCTCAACTTATAACAGTTCATTTAATGACCGTTCAAAGAGTGGTGCGGGTGACCTAGAGGTAGAACTCTCGTCTCACAGTCAGGAGGCTGTGAGTTCCATCCTAGGTAGAGGGAGATATTTCTCTCGCTGCACACAATGAGAATATATCTGTTGAACAAAACTCCTCATTGGCGACAGGAAGGGTATCAGGCCAGTAAAACACTCAGATCCACTCGGTTGCCCAAACTCCACCCTGCAAGGGATTATGGGGTTGTTAAAAGATGATAATGATGATGATGATGATTTTAGTGATTGTTCAAAGATACAACGGCACGGGAAAAAGTGATTTATGACTGGTTTTCACACTTATGGCCTTTGCAGCATCCCACAGTCACATGATCAAAATTCGGATGCTTGGCAACTGTTTCGTATTTATGACGGTTGCAGCATCCCGGGGTCATGTGATCTCCTTTTTGCGACCTTCTGACAAGTGAAGTCAATGGGGAAACCAGATTCATTTAACAATCACATTACTAACAACTGCAGTGATTCACTCAGCAACTGTAGCAAGGACTGTAAAATTCACTTAAACAGCGTCTCACTTAGCGACAGGAATTCTGGGTTCAATTGTGGTCATAAGGCTATCTTTGAAGAAACACTTCAAAGCAAACATGCTTAGAACTAGCAGACAAAATCTTTGGTTATTCCCACAGTTAACGAGAACACATATATAGGATTCATTTCTCAGAGCAAGATATTTTCTTATGTTGAAACTAATACCCTATTTTCGGACTATAAGACGCACCGGTGTATAAGACGCACCAAGATTTCGAAGAGGTAAGTAAGAAAAAAAAAGTTTTCATCCTCCCTGGCCCCCAAGAGCATTCTGCAGGCTTCAGCAGGGCTGGGGGAAGGCAAAAACGTCCCCGATTTTGTGAGAAAAGGGCAGAAAACGAGCCATTTTTTGCAAAACAGGGGCATTTTTGCCTTCCCCATCCCTGCTGAAGCCTGCAAAAAATGGCCCGTTTTTTGCAAAAATGGGATGCTGGGGTGGGGCTTCAGGAGGCCAAACATGGCTGTATTGAGTGTATAAGACGCACCAACATTTCCACGCTCTTTTAAGGGGGAAAAAGATGCGTCTTATACTCCAAAAAATATGGTAATTCAAATTAAACATCTCAACATGTACAAAAGGGTGCATGGAAAATAGAAAAACCACATCAAGGTCCTGAAACCTCTGGGTGCAGCACCTAAAAGGATGACGCAAAAAGACCGAAGGATGTTGGGTAGCTTTCTCCAAGCGCCTGCAAGTATTTTTAGCTGGAGTTTCACATTGCACCCTATAATAATCTTGGCTCTTTGACTTCGAGACATGCTCATTTCCTACCGAAAGAGGAGATTAATGCCCAAGCTGCTTGTACAGAAAGTCAGTGCCAAGAAAAGTCTGGATGCACTCCTCCTTCTGTTCGTCCATCTAGTTTTCGGTATATATATATTTTCCCCCAGCTGATTAAAACAGGCGTCAGGTTCTAATGTTTGCAAAATGGGAAACCCACGTCAGTAAAAGACAGTAGCTTTCCAAATTCCCTCTTGGGGGGGGGGAAGTGGAGGGGGATTTTGAAGGATATGCATTATTTCTTTCATCACAGCCTTCCACTGTTCTGGCTGGAGTTGCAACCCATCATATCTGGAAGACATCACCAAGTACTTTAGATATCCCAGCTAAGATGGAGGGAGGGAGGCTCTGTTTTCAAACACAGCTCGAGAGTAAAGGAAACAGCTGTGGGAGTAAGAGTTCTGTTATGGGCCATCAGCAGCCAGCAGAGCTGGCCGCAGATTCAGACAGTGAGGAGGTTGGGGAGGAACATGGGCCAGTCCTGGAGTCTGCGGAAGGCTCTGATGAGAGCTCTGTGTCGGAGGCAGAGATGGGGCCAGAGCCGAATGCCAGTTATCAGCTGCCTTCAGAGTCAGGCATCAGTGAGGCAGACAAACAGCTGGAGCCTGTTCCCAGTGTGCGCATGCACAGAGTTGCCAGATGAAGGGAACAACTAAAGAACAGGGGTCAACTTGGGAGTAAGGCTCTAAGTAAGGTAATAAGGGAGTAAGGTGGACGATGAATGGCTCCTCCCAGAGGAAATGAAAGAGGAGCGAAAGGGGAGTAGAGTTTGCAGAAGACAATTCGTTCGCTTAATTGGTTCGCGACTCTTAAAGATTCCTTGTCAAGTTCTGCAGATATCGGCCTGGCAGCTCTCCAAGACAGATAAGGTCTGTGACTGTAAATCCTCCCTTGAAAGACTTTGCTGGATGTGAATGAGCAGAATTCACAGTAAATTAATAAAAGGGTTTTTTGTCGGGACAAGGAGTTTGCTTCATGCTCTCAGGACGCCTCA